TTTTGCACTCTTCCCAAACTGCCTCTCAGCCTTCATTTATTTTTCAGTCAGGCCTGCTGCACTTTAGCATTTAGCCATCCAATGATTATGGTCTATTTTTCTCATCTGAATGCACAACAACTTACTCCTAATAGGTTTGTTGCTTGCATTTAAAAAGGCAAATATCTAGGAGACAGCAATTACCTTACCGACAGCCTGCTGTACCCACCCACCACTCCAGTGAAGCACTTCAGCAGAAATCCGCCCTCGCTCCTTATTTCTGGATCCTCAAAGCACTGCTGCTAGCAGCATTCTTCCCATAAAAAACACACAATAATATAGATTAGAACAAATCTCTGGATGATGTTTTGGGCCCAACCCTCTCACAAAGCTGGGCCCACTTTGATCACATCTCTTATTAGGGCCTTGCCCTTTCAAAGTTGGAATCATAGAATGGTTTGGGTTGGAAGGGACCTTTCAAAGTCATCTAGTCCAAGCCCTCTGCAGTGAGCAGGGACATCTTCAACAAGACCAGGATGCTCAGAGCCCCATCCAACCTGACCTGGGATGCTTCCACAGATAGGGCATCTACCACCTCACTGGGCAACCTGGACCAGGGTTTCACCACCCTCCCTGTGAAAAATTTCTTCCTTAGATCTAGTCTGAATCTCTCCTCTTACAGTTTAAAACCGTTACCCCTTGTCCTATCGCAACAGGCTCTGCTAAAAACTCCGTCCCCATCTTTCTTATCAGCCCCCTTTAAGCCCTGGCAGGCTGCCCTAAGGTCTCCCCGGAGCCTTCTCTTCTCCAGGCTGAACAACCCCAAATCTCTCAGCTTGTCCTCCCAGCAGAGCTGTTCCACCCCTCTTAGCATTTTTGTGGCCTCCTCTGGCCCCGCTCCCACAGGTCCATGTCCTTCCTGTGCTGAGGGCTACCTCCATGAAAGGAGATCCCAAACTCCCTCAAGGTCCCTGCTTCATATTCCTTATATCTCTGACGGGAACCTCCCGCGCTGTAACTTGGGTCTGGCAGCTCTCATCCTCCCCCAGTGCAACTCCTACAAGAGCCAGGCTGCACCTATGCCCTCCCGACAGCAGTACGCTCTCCACCTCACCTTCCCTTTCTTCAGGCTGAACTCACCCGGCTCCCTCTGCCTCTCTCCACCTTCCATGTGCTCCAGTCTCGGAACCCCCACAGAGCCGGGCCCAGTCTGCAGACGCTGTCTCACCGGTACCGAAGAGAGGACGAGGACCGCTGCCCTGGGCCTGCCGCCCACAGCGCCAGGGCTATCGGGACAA